ATGGAATTATTTAGTGCGCTGGAGTTGTTATATGAGCAGGAGAACTTACTACTTCTGGGTGACTTTAACGCTCCAGGAACGGACTGGAAATGTCCCTTAACAAACGCCCTTTCCACGTTATTTGACCAGAAGATACTACAACTCTCCCTGAATGAATACCTCGTTCAACATATAAAATTCAGAACAAGACTGAGAGAAGGACAACGATCTAACTGTTTAAAACTCGCTTTCAGTAAAGAAGGAGTCATAAAAGAAGTGCATCCGCAACCTCCACTCGGTTTAAGCGATCATATTGCTTTCACCTGCGTGTGCTCTCTCCTATTGAACCAGCAACCAAAAATAAAGAGGCGCAGAAATATTTGGAAGGATGACTTTAACACAGTGAGACGTACTCTTTTTAGAGAGTTCCCACGCAGGTTTGTGGCCACAACAACAAACCTGCGTGGGAACTCTCTAAAACTTAGAGGATCCCGATGCCGCCTGGACGTTCGCAAATACTGTTTTTCACAACGAGTCGTCGGTGCCTGGAACGGGCTTCCCGAGGACGTAATAATGGCGGATACCACGGAGACGTTCAAGCAAAGACTCGATGCATATTTGCTTGGACACTATCGCTTGCCTGAATAGAACAGCTCTGTGGTGCTTAACCAACGCCTTGCATACCCATACCGCTGATGCGGATGACCGTCATTACATTTTACTGAAATCATCTACAACTGAATGTTCTAACATTTTGGTTCTACATTTTCGCGGAAAATATTATGTTAAATGTGTATATTACTGACAATATTTCAGTACCATGTCTATTTATAGTGAGATATTGCATGTACCGTTTACAATAGGGTTTTCAAAGGCATTGCCTATTACTCTTAAAATATACTGACCTATACTGACCTAAAGAAAACCTGGTTAGTCAACATAGAAGATTCAGAAGAATTCTGGTAGTACTTTCGCGGGATTTTAGAGCGTCTAATTGACTCCAATTTGTCCAATAAAATTAACCAGAAAATTTGCGCGACCACTGTGGGTCAATCCGATGACAAAAAAGACTATGAGAAACAAGCAGAGGCTGTATAAAAAGTATTTGCATCTTCGAGATCCAATGTCATTCGCCGAATATAAAGATCAGCGCAATAAATCCCGCAAACAAATACGGGTTGCTAGAACGTCCTTCGAGCGCCGACTGATGGCAGAATCCACTACATGCCCCAAAAAGTTTTACGGGTACATCCGCAGAAGGAGAAAACATAGGGACGAAATTTCGTATCTAAAGGACAGTCTAGGAAACTTATTGGTTGAAGGGTCACAGAAACTGCAATTTCTGTCCCAGTTTTTTCAATCGGTTTTCACGAAGGAGCCCTCAGGAGACAATAAGCAGTTTGAAATTGACCGAGACAGCCGGGAGCTTCAAATGCGCCAAGATACCGCCGTCATTGAAACCGTTACCTTTTCCGTCGAAGAAGTAAGACGCGTCCTCAGTCAAATAAAACCCAATAAGTCTCCTGGATCCGACGGAATACCTGGACCGATACTGAAGGAGCTGTCAAAGCCTCTTTCGACTCTTTTTGAGCTGTCAATGAGAACAGTAGGTCTGCCATCAGATTAAAGGACGGCTAACCTCATTCCCTTAAATAAGGGAGGTAGCAGGATGGCAGCAAGCAGCTTCAAGCCTATAAGTTTAACTTGCCTCTCATGCAAAACGATGGAAGCTCTAGTAAGGAGCGCTATTCAGCAATTTTGTGGAGAAAATAACATCTTGCAGGATGTTCAACATGGCTCCCGGAGAGGACGTTCCTGCCTCTCAAATCTCCTAGCTTGTCTGGAGATCTGGGCCAGGGCTCTAGAAGAGGGTTTTGAGGTCGATGTCGTGTACATCGATTTCCGCAAAGCTTCCAATACTGTTCCACACCAACGTCTTCTTCACAAATTGAGCGTTATCGGCGTCCGGGGAGATCTTCTGAACTGGATAAGGGCGTTTCTGAATGGTCGGAAACAACGTGTCTGTATCGGAGATGATATGTCTGAATGGGTGAACGTGACCAGTGGTGTGCCTCAAGGCTCAGTTCTGGGACCATTGCTCTTCATCGTTTATGTTAACGACAGCCTTCAGGAATTCGACTGCGGCAAAATAATGTTTGCAGACGTTGAGCTCTGGCAAGTCATTAAGGATCCGAATGATCAGAGATCCCTTCAAGATAATCCACACCGACTGGAAGAATGGTCGTAGAAATGGCTTCTAGATTTCAATGTGGAGAAGTGTGCGTCCTTCATTTGCGTCCAACCAACTCTCATTCAAAGGATATAAGGCTCCCCGCAGAATCTTCACAGAAGTATCTCGGGGTTTGGATACAGAACAACCTGAAACCAACACTGCAGTGCCACAAGGCTGAAAAAAACGCCGTGGGTGTGCTGCATGCAGTCAAAAGGACTTTCGTAAACTTTGACCAAGACCTTTTTGGGAGAGTTTACGGCACCCTTGTTCGGCCCCACTTAGAATATGGCATACAAGCATGGCGGCCGTGGTTAGTAAAGGACCAACCATGTCCCGAACGGGTACAAAGTCGTGCAACAAAGCTGGTCAACGGTCTAAATGCAAACCCTAAACAGACAGACTGAATTGCCTTTATTTAATCCCTCTGTGTTACATGCAGCAAAGAGGTGACCTTATCTTTGTTTGCAACATAAAACATGACCTTGAGCACGGACTTAGCTTCGAGGACATGTTTCAGTGTCACATTTCACACAATCTTCGTGGTCACTCGATGAAGCTACGGACAACAATGTCCAGACTGAATCTTCGTTCTGAATTTTTCACACAAAGAGTAGTGGAGAAATGGAAAGATCTCCCTCAGTCAGCCGTGGGGGCTACGTCTCTGCAACTCTTCAAGAAACGCTTGGATGATTATTTGTGTCCCCTGTTTTCCCTCGACAGTCTGAAGCGGAACTAATACCCCACGAACCCGCGAATTAGTATCTGAGACGGTGCTAGTCAAATGAATCAAGTACTGTTTGAATGGCGAATATTTTTATTGTTCGTGTACAGTTATTTCTAACGAGCTGACATGCAATCAATAGGGTTTTCAAAGACTTTGCCTATAATCTTTACCAAATAAACTGAAAAAATGTTGAAACGGAGAAGTAACTGCGGTTTTCGACACGTCACTGGCCTCAAATGGGATTTGGTGATAATGCGGCATGATCGGTCTTGGAGAGCATGCGCCTGCCATGCAGCGAGAGTCCTGGACAGGATGCTGATCAGTCATCCTGTTTTCAGTTGACATCAAAATATGGCGAGCGATCAAGTTCAATAATAATAAACAGACTCCGCCAGAAGGATTTAATTGTATATGTGAATGGCCAGATAAACGATTTCTGGAGTTGCACCATGGTTCAAAACAAAGAAGGAGGGAGAAAGAGGAGATAATCAACAATACCTCCGTAACGGAAGGTCTGTGTCAAATGCAACTGAAAAAAGACCTCGGAATTACAATTCTGCTACCTCTGAAGCCCTCCCCTCAACGCGTCTGGGTGGCCAAAAGAGCAACCGGGCTCTTTTTGTCACTAAAAGAACATTCATAGATATAGGTAGGGAGCTTTTTGGGAAAGTAAACGGGCACTTAATTTTTTTTTTCAACTGAAATATGTTATCCACACGTGTCATACAGGCAAAAAAGATTGTAAGTTGCACAAAAGGGCTGAATGAGGGCGACAATAAATTGTGAAGGATTTCAGAACTTTATCTTACAACTTCAGGCTTGATGTGTTTGACTTAGTTCCTCTCGAGTACAGACTGTTTCGAGGTGATTTAAGACAGACCTGTCGGATTGTGAGGAATCGGCACTGTACCTCCTCCCTCACTCCTCCCCCATAGCGACAATTGTCGCGGTTTTTGATGTCATCTCCCGCATTCCGACCTCATGCGGTCTGTCGACGCTCACGGCGGAACCCTCAGTATTCGCCGTCTACTAGTAGCTTGGTCGTAACCACCTTCCCCACTTCTCGACTGAGCTAGAAGCGTGCTGTGGCCGATCGCATCTGGCTTCCTCTTGTCTGGCCTCCTTGACGCGAATAGTCTCATGCGGCGTATCAATCCGGCCCAGACGATCTCAATTGTGAATCCCGTATACAATGTCACATGCAAGCCAGTCCTGTCTGACCCGCATACGTACCCCTCAAGGCTGAGATTTATTGCTAACCTGACGATGACCGACAACATTCCGTTGTATACCGCCACCTAAAGGCCAGTCCTGCTAGCTTTTTTCTGTCAGTATTTTTTTGTGGTTTTTTTTCTCCTGTAAAATTAATCCAATCATTTTTAACTTTTTGTACGGAGTTTTTTTTCACACCTCAATCATCATGTTTCTCAATGGACTACTAATTCAGAAACTATGAATTGCACTTTGTAAAGATCCGGCCTACCTCGTCTAAAACTCGCATGTAATTTTCTTTGACTTGCTTTGATGGGACCCCGACGGGTCTTTAATAAAAAATTATCTATCTATCAACCCGCATTTTGACTGATTCTACGCAACAGCCACAAATATTAATCAGCGTGGGAAACGACTCAAACTCCGAAGAGCCCGATGCCATCTGAATGTTCGAAGATACTCGTTTTGCAGCGAGTTTTCGGTGCCTGGAACGGACTTTCCTAGAAAGTGATAATGATAAATTCAGCAGGGATATTTTAACAAAGTCTGGATGCATGTTTACCTGAAAAACGCCGTCCACCTAGAGAGAAAAGCTTCGTTACACCTAACAAGAGGTTTGCATTCATCTACCACTAATGCGGATGACCACAACTTCATATTTAACATTGTCCTCAAAATTTGAGGCTTTCAATCCCAAGCTTTTAAAACAATATACCGTATACGTTGCTGGAAACATCATAGTAACATATCCATTTGAATAATATCATTGCATGTGCGACCCTCAGCAGAGTCTTCAAAGTCATTTTCTATTGCTGCAAAGAAGCAACCGTCAGCCCGGTCATCTTCAGACTTTTAAAGTAAGTCTAATCCCTCGTCCTCCTCCTTCTCCCCCTCCTCCTCCTCCTCCTCCTCCTCCTCTTTCTTCTTCTTCTTCTTCTTCTTCTTCTTCTTCTTCTTCTTCTTCTTCTTCTTCTTCTTCTTCGTCTTCTTCTTCTTCTTCTTCTTCTTCTTCTTCTTCTTCTTCTTCTTCTTCTCCAAAACCAGAAACATCTAAATTGGTTCTTTTGGCGGAAAAATATGTTTATCGTCATAAATTTTTAGATGAGAATCGTTCACATCCAAAGGCGTGAAATCGTTTTGTTCGGCACGGCATCCTTTTACGTTTAAGCGAAAGGTAATTAGTCAAATTATTTTTTTGTAATCTGCAAGGTTATCAAGGAAGGCAAATTACCCGAAAAATAAAAGAATAAGCCAGTCTCGCTGGACCATAAGAGCTGATCCCGAACACACTCCGGCTATTACCATTCTGTCAGTCGGTGAAATGACAATTTAAGTTGAGGAAGAGACGACTAACGGCCGAGGTTGACAATATTGGGTTGGATAAGACATTATTTAATATGCATTGGACTTTTGCCACACATTTAGAGAGTGTTTTTTACCAGACGACACAATATGTATGTCCATCTACATTTTGATTTGGTTTGTTTTATCATCTAATCCGATCTCCTCCTCTTTGGTTTCTCGGCTTCACCGAGTGGGACCTGGTACCTGACGCTGACGGCATGTGCTGGTAATATTTAGTCCTGCCTTGGTTGCAAGGCCTAAATCGTATGGGGAAGTCAGATTCTAGCTTTGCTACCAGACAGTTAGAAAAGTATGGCTGGAAGGCGGGTACGTTTTTGTTTTCTTATATTCCTTTCAATCCACTAGCCTGTAGCCATAGTTTTCGCCTCACGCAATATTACAGTTAGTACATATGTAATAACAATTTAATACCGTGTCGGCAGCAACTTGCTTTGGAAAAGGCACGACAGGCATAGGGACAGATGCCGGATTTTGCCCATTTGGTCGCCATCTAAGCAACAGCGGAAAGTCGCGATAGCTATCGCCCTAGGGCGCCACACGGTATCCTTGTCGCAGTTTTCGAGTCGCAAACTCTTGGTAATCAAAAATACTCGACTTGGAAGTCTTCCGTATGGCTTTGAGAACGAAATTTCGCTGAAGACAAAGTACCTAACATTGGCGACAGCTAGCACTTAGTTTACAAATACTCTGGCAGGCGTGTCACAGATTACAGAGCCCACGCCAACGTGAGTAGGCTGTCTGACGTTCTCGCTGCGGATTCCTTGTTTTCGTATAGGTATTTTCTCAATAACAACTAGCTTGCAGAATGCGTCTACATCCGTCGGGTTTGTGGCTCCACAACAAATCCCTACCGGGAATATGTTACCGAGGAAGGGCCTGGCAACTCTTCCTACATTATTTGGCGTGTATCTGCTAGGCCCCCTGGTTTTCACTGCTTTTATTCGTATAGTGCTTATTAAATCCTTCGGTAAGGAGTCTAGGAGGGCGGATAGCACTCTTAATCCTGAGTTCAGCACCCCTACCTGTTCTGATCTACTAACTTCGCCCGGTCCGTTGTCACTTCAGTACAATTTCTGCTGTCGACAGGCGGTCTGTTACAGTGAAATTCCTCCTCGAGCCACTAGAGGAAGTTCTCTGGTCACTCATAACGCTACTTATTAATTGGTTCTGAAACATAAATCGTCTAGTCGGAGTTACAGTATGCGGACACAAGCAGAAACGCTGAGAAGAAAGCAGGTGGCGGGAGGCTTTCCGTGGAATAAGCGGGCCTGTGAGTCTGGCATGCACACAGTTGAGAATAATTCAGCAACAATGCCGCCAAGTGTGACCGTTTTCATATTTGTCCAGTCAGTGGCCTGTGGAAAGATTACAAATGACATGGAAATAAGCATATAGCACATGCTGCCTACCACGCAGTAGGGTTTTGTTCGATGTCCTCACTTTTGGATTAGGGCTAACGCCAGAAACCGGTCGTGTTTTCGAATACCAGAGACGCCTTGCGACGCAAACGTGACTCGCTCACGGTAACCGATACGTCTTAGCGGGGATTACCGCTTTTTAATAAATCTTGTAAATATGCGCTGCCTACTTCAGTTATGCATTCAAGTAAATCTGAACAAAATTAAATGTATGACATTTAAATATGGGGTATCGGTGAAAACTGTCTGTCGGAAATCTGGTAATCAACACCGGAATCTGACATCATTTACCACCTCTGGGCACCGGCATGCAGAACAACCTCGGTAAACATGACGAGGTGGTCATTGCATTTCAATACTCCTGCAAGGGAGCATGGTGATGGCCAAATGTGCTGTTTGTGTCCATGTGCAGCCTAAATGTCAATAAAGATAACTATTTGACGCATACTTGTACATGAAACTCATATAGTTGTTATCATGCCTGATTTAGCCGACCTCAGTTTTGTCGCAAATTGTATCTCTCCACGGGTTACGACCTTTGGCGGCCTATCTGGAGAGCTCGACCCACTTCGGCGGCATAAACTGAGTACCGGGGGGTTTATGGACCGCTCCCATGTCTTGACGAGCTGTGTCGACTCAGGTTTTGAATTGACCTCTTCGACTCATAGAGGCTGCCAACGGCACCGGATAAAGGGCAGCAAAACTGAGCTTGTGCGGCGGACGACAAAGGACGCACCCGAACCACTTCAGTCGCCCTTCCTACATGGCCTGAGATATCCTCGTGATGCAGTCACAGCGAGTGCAGACTGTCTCATTTGAGACAGTTTATTTCACTCGAGGGATGATGTTTAAGCAGCAGTAGTCAAGCACCTCCAGTCTTTGCTCATCTTCCACCCGCACACCTCAGTTTTCACAGTGGCGTAGAAAATCGACCGGACAGATGCCTGTTACACACAGATCATCGTGGCGGTGGAAATGTTGTGTCAGATCTATAGACACTTCCTGGGGATTGTGAAAGTCGAGCGAACAATATCGATTCAGGAGACGATATGTTTCTTAATCTGTCTATTTGGTATTAACATTGCCCCGAGATATTCGAAACTATGTACTTCCCCGAGACGACAGCTATTAATTCTGAGGGGTACATTCTCCTGGTCTTGGATATAGCTCGAAAACACTGCTCTCCTCAGAGTGTAAATAAATCGACCGATTTGGCCGCCTTTGGCTTCACTTTCTGGAGTCGGCAGAAGG